AATTTTTTTGGGGGGGCCCCCCCCCCCCCCCCCCCCCGCCTTGTACACCTATGCTAATCACCAAGAAATTTACTTGATATACTGTATACTCAGGAGCAAATATATTACACCATTTCCCCTGGATATTACACCATCCTCCCTGGATATTACACCAACCCCAGCTCACCTGGTCAGTTTATCCAAAGTTGTTATTTGTGCCAGTGAAGGTTTTGAGGAGAAATAACTGAGGCCACCACATTTTATACAGACATTGTCATGTTTCTGAAAAAACACCATAATGTTTCCTTTAGAGTTTAGACTTCTCAGAAAAGCAAACCAGAAGATAAAACAAAGTAATGATGTCATTCACAAACAACACAGACCTGTTCACTTTTGTTGTCCATTGCTCTGAAAGGAAAGAAATTGATTTACCACACATGCACATATTGTACAGTCTACAGTACCATCTTGAAACTTAAATGTAATTTAAGAATCCTTACTTTGCATTTTTCAAAAATTTACCTTAGTTGAGACTGAAGTTTTGACACTCGTTCTCTGTACATGTCAAGTTCTTTTCTAAAAAGTAATATAAACAAATAATAATAATATGTACAAACAATAGACGCATTTTGAAGCACAAGGATTGCCTTTTGTACATTAAATGTACTGAACTGCACTGGTACCTTGTAGATTTGATAATTGTTTCTAAACGGTTTGTTTTGTCTTGATTAAGCCTCTTAACTTCATCCTGAAAAAGAGATGAAGCTATTCAGAATTTATATTTAATTCATATCAATTTTACTCAAACTTTCATTAACCCATTGAGAAGCAGTACTTGATAAGCAAATCCCATTCACTTAATTAACAGTGTAATACTCAGCACTAGTTGTATATTAACATAACAGTACCAGTTCATTTTCGAGTTGATAAAGATATTTTCTGTCTTCATTTTGACTAAACTACAACAATAAGTATATTAGAAAAGTTAAGTAAGGCAATCTGTCTCAAGATTTGTTTAAAATTTTTGCAGTTCTTTAGATACTGGTACTGTATATAGTAATGATGTTTCCAAATGTTACTAACAAGCAGAACTATTCATTATGAAAGTCTAATATTTACTTTTACTGTAGAGTTATTTCTTGCAGGAGCATCTGCAGGGAAAGAACTTTCATTTAACCTTTCATATAGCATTTCATTTTCAGAAACCACTTGTTCAGTTCGAAGTCTTAAACCAGCCAGTGAGTCCTAAAAACAAGGTTGAAAATTATTGCTAAGAAAATGAGACACAAATGAGCTGCTATAAGTGAAGGGGTCATCCATAATTAACAACATTTTCACAAGTGCACTCTCTTGACAAAACAATTTGTCTGGCATTAGACAGACTAATTAAGTTAACAAAGTTTGGTGTACTGCAGCTATATGACTGGGTTAAATAATATAATCGTTACCTGGTAAAACACAATTTGCTCTTCCAAACGTTTTGTCAAAACATCACTTTCATACAATAAGTCAGCCATATCTTCTACTGATACCATGTTCATGTCATCATTTGATCTAACTTCTTGTAATTTGTTCGTTGACAATTTTCTTTTTTCTAATAATGTTCTTAGTTTGCTTGCTGTGAAATTAATTTACATGACTACTGCGTGGGTGAACTCCATGGTAAATATATTTTTTCTTGAAATTGTTTGAATTCATAATCTGCTTGTCCATGTGTTTAAATGCAACAAACAGACAGATGTTTTCATTGGTTAATATAAAATATCAGGCATAGTTTCTCTGTGGAGATAAATTTGCATGCATATAGTTTGTCGTGATGGACATGCTTTTTATCAATTAACATTAGCCTGGCGCACACAAGAGAAATTTTCTGAGCTAACCATCTAATTTGGCAGCTAGCTCAGCATGATTCTCTCGTGTGCAGATAGTTTTCGTGGGATTTAACCTCTCAAGGCCTAAAATATCTATTGTGTTTGATATTTTTCACCTTGTGAGGAAAAAATCTTAACATCTGAGGATGTTACATGTGAGCTTAGTGCTAAGCTGCTTGAATTAACTAGCCAATGAGAACCCATAGTATCTTTGCACGTCTTTTGTCAAAGGAAGTGGTTATAGGTCCGACATTTCCATAATCATTAAACTCTATACTTTTTTTTCTTCGTGTTTTTTACCCTTTTGGGTTAGGTTAGGTTAGGTTAGGTTAGGGGGTTAGGTTAGGGTTAGTTTTCAGGGTTAGAGTTGGGGTTTAGTGTTAGCTTTTAAAGTGTTGTCGGATCTTTAGCTGTGAAGCAAGAAGACAGACCTATAACCACAGCGTGTCAGACCAGGTGTCAGACCTATAACCACAGCATTTGTCAAAATGGCAATAATGGAGGGGAATGCAAACAATCTTATCAATGACGTACATTGCTGTTTGAGTAGTTTTCCCAACATGTGCAGGGAAAGTACATGGCTGGGCAAGTTTCTCTCATGTGTTGCAGGCTTTAGAGTATATAATAGCCATAAAGCCCACAATTTGTTCCCATGGATCGAAATGGAGGGAGACGACACAGTCAACCCCATACCCTCACAAATTTAATATGTGAACCCCCCTGGTAACAAAGTGTCTGATTTTCAAAGTTTTTCCAAAGAAAAACACGTGCAAATTTCAGCCTCTTACCAGAAGATTTGCTCAAATCATTTGAGTCATCTTGTACACTACTAGTAGTACCATCTCGAGTTGGGATGTCTTTCAAATTCATATGTTTTGTACCAGATAATTTCATGATTTCACGAAAATATAAGTCAAATCACACGATTTCATTCGCTGATCTAAGCAGTAACTATGCTTGGAAATTGATGTTTTAATAGATTAGCAAATTTTGCAAAAACTTTTGCATCAAAGTATTAAAACGCGAGTACAATATATCTTACTCTGACATGAAGTATACGAGATTTAGTACAAGCCGCTGGAAATTGCAGGCTCTGTTTCCCTCTGAGCTATATACTATACACTGGATAGAGTAGATATTTTGTTAAGAAATTAACTCATTTCTAACATATTATGGTAGATATTTATGAAGCTGCTTTTATTTTAATGCCAAAATAATGTAGTTTAACGACGCTTATTACTTAAAGCCCGAAGACGTTTTAATAAAAAGGAAAAAAAAATAACGTTTTCTGTCTTCAAATGGTTGCGCTGTCCAGCATCTATACGAGATCAGTGTAGCCTGTTCGCAGGTGAAGGTGAATGAAAAATTTTAAAAAATTGAAGTAAAGGAATGAAATAAAGTTAAAATGAGCGGAAAGTATCGCGCATTTTTCGACATTTTAACAGGATTTTTTCTAGGTGGTAGTACAGTGAAGATATATTATGAAAGCATTAACACAGATGAAGACTCCGGATCATTTATCTTTCGTCAAAACAAGAAAAAAATTGATGAAATATGTGCTTCGCATGAAAACCTGAAAGTTGGGAAAAGTGAACGGCTGATAAGTGGGCAAAGCGGTAAAAAAGTTGATGCGGTCATGAATCATGAAGTTTTTAAATTTGGTCAGCCCCATAGGTTCCCAGAAATGTTGCATTATAAAAATCATGTGATAGCTTATGACACGGCTAGGAAGATTCCACTATGGGTTGCAGAGCATTTATCCAAGGAGAAATTAACAGCTGTGGATATGCAGGCGGAAAGATCAAAGTCGAGTTTCCAACCCGACCCCAACATACCAGAGAAATTTCAAGCAAAAAATGAGGATTATTATAAAAGTGGATGGACGAGAGGTCACATGGCCCCAGCAGGTAATTAACCCACTCCACAATCATATATTAAGAAATGTATGGTTCTGTGTATTGGTTAGGACAGAGTAGTCTTAAACCATGTGCATATATAGCTTAATACGCCCTTTTTTAATTCATAAATGTCCACTCTATAGGTGACAACAAATTTGATCAAGAGTCAATGAACGAGACATTTTTCTTGTCAAACATACTGCCACAAAACTTTGAAAACAATGCTAACTTTTGGTACAGAATGGAAGTGTTTTGTCGGAATCTCACGAAACAGTTTTCAGATGTGTATGTTATCTCGGGTCCCCTTTGGTTGCCATGTCAACAGGATGGAAAGAAGATTGTCCAATATGAGGTGAAGAAATGTACTCAGCTGTGTTTATTTGAAACATAATACAAAGAACTTCTCATTACCCCACTTCCCACTCACTCACCCACTCCTTGCCCCATCTACCACTCCCTTCCCCACCTCCCACTCCCTCCCCTCCCTTCCCCACCTCCCACTCCCTCCCCTCCCTTCCCCCACCAGTTAAACTAAAGTTAGATAACTTTTATCAGGCTGGAATGGATTGTTTTATAATTTCTAGTTTGCCTAGAGGTCCAGTTATTTATTGGTCCAGTGGTACAGCCCAATAATTTATTTTGACTTTTATTTATACTGGATAACTCTATCTTTTTTTTATTGCAGGTTATCGGTGAAAACAATGTTGCTGTTCCAACTCATTTATTCAAAATTATACTAGCCACCAATTCTACAACAAACGCGGCATGTATGGCTGCTTTTGAAGTGCCCAATCAACCAATCACGTACAAGAAAAGCCTTACAGATTTCCAAATACCCTTGCAAAAGTTAGAAAAAGATTCGGGATTTAGTTTCTTTGAGAAAACTGAGAAATTTAAGACTAAAAATTTATGCGAGGTTGCTGGATGTAAATTAATGTCGAAAGATGCCATGGAAGTAGTTATGTTACGAAGACAGTTGGGTAATGCTCAGAATATTGAACAGTTAGACCAAGTTTGGAATAAAATGGACAAAGAACATAGTTTGGATGGTAGTTTTAGTGTTTTGTATGAAAAAAGATTGAAGGAACTACAGCAAAAGACGGAACCAGCTTAGGCAAAAATATTAAAAATATAAAGCATTGCATGTCAAACGAGGATGAGAGTTAAAAAATGAGAGTTGAGAAGCGAGAGTTTGCACGAGAGTTTCTCAACTTTCATGTCCTGGATATTTAATACCGCGCGTTTAGCCAAAACTCTCGTCAACTCTCACCAAAATTTGAACTATTTTCCATCCAGCAAACTTCAAAGTTGTTTCTTTTTTTATTTTTGTTATTAATTTGGTTAAGGTTACAGTTAGGGTTGCGGTTAATACGGGTTAGAGTAGGGGTAGGGTTTGTTACATAGCCATATAACACCTCTTCCATCTTCCGAAAAGGACGTCAGTTTGCTGGATGGATAATAGTGCTAACAAAGTAGTGCACGAGAGTTTGCGGTCAAACGCAAGAGAGAGTTTCTCATCAACGTTGATCCTCATTTGACCACAACTTAGGGGCGGACCATTAGAAAAGTGTTGGGGAGGGTGGGGAAAAAAACAGAAAAAAAATCCATGCAAACAAAAAGGGTTTGAAAAAAATACATGCATCAGACTCGTTTAAAATGCGAGAAGACATATTTAAAAAAAAATACATACATACACAGCTAACAAACTGGAAAAAAATGCAAACATAAAAAATTTACCCCCATCACTTTTCTAATGCTCCGTCCCTTAAGTTACTGAATATGAGATTATGACGCTAATGACAAGGCAATGCAATGTTTTGAAGTTTACTTCTGAAGATATTGAATCGAATTAATAGGGAACACTTAGCAATTTTGCTAAATTTCTGACAAGTAATATGTCGTAGTAAAATCAATAGCGTATTAAGTTAGACAAAATAAGTGCTTGTGTAATCTCGTAAGTTTATTACATTTACTTTTTACTAATTAACTACACAAGTAAAAAATATTTTATAGTATAAACTGAAATTGGATTTAATATAAATATTTGTTATCTTTTAAACTATTTCTCTAATTTCTACTAACGTTTATAAAATTAAACTCGTTACCAGTGTCACAGAGTAAATACCATGACAGAGGTGTCACTTACTAATTTCAGCGTAAAGCCTGCTTTCCACTAGGCGGAATTTTGCGCGCGGAGCGGAGTTTTTCTTTGTCTTTTCTAATTAGTTCCACCCGAGAAATCACAAGACAAAGAAAAATTCCACTCCGCGCGCAAAATTCCGCCTAGTGGAAAACCGGCTTTAAGGCCGTTTTACACTAGGTGGAATTTTGCGCGCGGAGCCGAATTTTTCCTTGTCTTGTGATTTCTCGGGTGGAACTAATTAAAAGAGACAAAAAGCCGTTTTACACTAGGCGGAATTTCTCTTTGTCTTTTCTAATTAGTTCCACCCGATAAATTACAAGACAAAGAAAAATTCCGCTCTGCGCGGAAAATTCCGCCTTGTGGAAAACGGCCTTTAAGCCGGTTTTCCACTAGGCGCAATTTTGCGCGCGCAGCGGCAATTTTCTTTCTAAAGGCTGATTTCCACTGTTGCGTTTTTCATTCGTACGTATACGCACGTAAAACTTTAAATTCGTTTAAATGTTACTTATGAAATAACCCGATAAATAAAGCAACAGAATTTAGTGTTCCGCAAGTTTTAGTATGCATTTGTTAACTCATTTGTAAAATATTTAAAAAATAGAAGGATTCAAAGTTTTACGTGCGCGTACGTGCATACGAAAAACGCAACAGTGGAAATCAGCCTTATTGAAATTTAATGTTCCAGGGGGGTGAACGCCTCTCTAGGGCACTTGCTAAGAACATGGACGCCAGATTTCCGCAGTAAAAACTACCTTGCGTTTTTTTCGCGAAGTGAGACCTCTGCATGGTTGGTACTCTGTGCCCAGTGTTTCGTGGCTAAGACCGTAATATAACCGATAGGGACAAAGCTCGTTTAGAACATTTCATTTTAAACCTAAATGCAATTTTTTTAGTCCCTAGGTTAGTTTGATAAGGTAATTTGGCCTCCATCTTCTGACTTTACAAGTCATTAATGGTAGCACAATGGAAGAATTTTAAATTCTATATCATATATGCATTATGCACATATATTTACATCAACGATATAAACAGACACAACCCTCGAAAACCATCAAAATTGAGGTCGGCAAAAAAATGTCGACCTAAATCTGACCTAGGTCGGCACGTCTCGGCATTTTTTAAAAATCTGTTTCCACGTCTTGTAGCACTAGTAATCGCGCATTTACTAATCATTGAAATTGGAACATAACTGGAACGTTACCTCCAGCCGGAAAATTTATCTCTAGACGCGCGAAATTTCATCTTCATCTTGCCGAAGAATGCTGACCTCGTTTTCGAGGGCTGTGCAGACAAAAGCTCTATCCCACTCCATTTCAGCTTGGGTTTCAGCCATATGGTTTCAGCAAGCCAATTTCAAAACTATTCACACTTATAGCGGCAAGCAAACTGAACTACACACGTAAAAATCTCACAACTTGTCGACAGGAATGGTTCGTAACGGACTTGTGGCAAACTTGTCATCAAGTTGTATAATAATGTTATTTGTTAGTTGTATATTAATGCTGTTATTTTATCAAGTTGCTACAAGGTTGTCACTCACAACTTGTTGAATAGGCAATTTAGTTTATGCGTGCAGGGGACGATGGGAAGTATGGTATCACATTGCTGTTTATGCTGAAAAAATAAAAATGGTGGCCGTGTAAACACGGAGTGATAGCTTATACTTGTAATTATATAAATATTTCGGTTGTTTCGGTAGTTTTTATTGAATTTTTTCAGCATAATCAGCAATATGATACCTTACTTCCCATCATCCCCTGCAGGCATAAACTAAAAGCTGGAATTGCCTATTGCTGGGGCCGGTTGTTCAAAGGCAGATTAGCGCTAACCCTGGGTTAAAATTTAACCTGCTGTTTTAGTTTGTAAATTTCTGCACATCTGTTTATTTCAAAACTTCAGAGAAGTAAACTCCGATCCAGACAAAATCTCTGAAGAAATATTTCCAAATTTAATTATATAGACAAGCTGTCAGGAAGTTTGCTTTGAATTTTAGCTTAACCTGGGGTTAAGCTAACCCACCTTTGAACAACCGGCCACAGGACGATAACAAGTTGTTGGAACAACTTGTAACAAGTCTGTTGAGCTCAACAACCTTGTAGCAAGTTGTCAACAAGCTGGGAACAGGCAGTACGAACACATCCTGTTGACAAGTTGTTGGAACAGCATTGCTATAAGTCTGCTGCAGGTTTGTTACAACTTGTGCGTTTTTACGTGTGCAGTTGACCACAATCTCGTACATGATAGTGCTTGGTGAAACCTACAAACTAGTTGACGTCTGTCTTCCCAATTTTGTCCCAAGCAGCTGGCAATAACTTACCCAGTTAGAAAGGATATCTAACCTATCATGATGCAACTGACCTGACGAGCACTAATGCAAATGACCTCACGAGTTTCTCGGTCGTTTGCTATATAATGCAATATTCTGTAGACTTCGGCGCACCATTGGACTCGTATATCTCCGATTCGTTATCGATTAGCATGCTAAAAAGATAATGGTATTTTTTAGAAATTTTGAAAGACTGAAAAGTACTAGACTGCGGTGCCCTGGAGCATGCGTAAAACAGCACGTTGGCGATATACAAGCCCTGAGTGCACCACAAGCACGAAGATATACTAATTTTGAATAAATATCAAGGTTTACACAGAAATAAAGATTCATACAGAAGGGCCACTTACGTCAGAAGCTTTGAAGTTTCTGTCCTCGCGCATTACGCATGTTGGTCGCCATTTTCCTAGGCAGTCAATGACATTTTCTGGCCAATAAACACGCAGTAGTGGCTGGCTGCTCCGCCTTCTGGCCAGTGAACTGTATATTTTTGCATAAAAAAGCCGCCGAGTAGCCCTTCTGTAACTGACCTTTATTCTGTACTTATGTATGCTTATGATTCCGAACAGACAACAGATTAACAGACTCCAAGGCTCTCACTCCAACCTTATCATACGGAAGCAAGCGTATTTCTTTGTTTCATGAGCACCAGAATGGAACTAATGACCAAAAAAATGCTACGTTCAACACGGTTGAAGTGGAAAACGGCCATAACAAACTCACGCACCCAACATAAAGCGATGGCTAACTTCGTTCGAGCACCGCAGTTCTAATCAGACAACAGCTATTTTCGTACCCAGACTTGCGCTCACTCACTCGATCATTCTTACCTTCGAGAATTTTGAGATGGCTGTAAATTCATAGGATTTAAAACAACCCCACACGACGTATAATCTGATTTCGCAGAAACATTGTTATTTAAAGTGAAGCCATTTTCCCCCTGGTTATTGCCCGTTATGTACGATGGTCTGGAGTTGTTTGCGAAGACGTCCCCCGAAGATGGTACGTGAAATATCGCTCGTTTTCGATGATGCCTCCGAACAAGGCATAGTAGACAGGCTATGATAAGTAGAACCATTACGCTTGATAGGATATAGATCAATTTATCAGTGTCTAGGTACGAAGTTATAAAAACACATGTTAACCATTATTACCTAGACTTTCTCTATTTATACTGGCTGTCAGTACTAAATTGTTCCCCTTAAATGGTAAGGACCAACTTGTATTACTGTACAGGAGGAAACTAACTTTACTTATACTGCATGGATAGCTCTATCAGTCCTCCTTAGATGTCCATTAAGAATCATCTCTTATTGATCCAGTATTACTACAGGAGGAATCTAACTAACTTTATTTATACTGGATAGCTCTATCAGTCCCTCCTTAGATGTCCAGTAAGAATAATCTCTTATTGATCCAGTGTTACTACAGGAGGAAACTAACTAACTTTATTTATACTGGATAGCTCCACCAGTCCTCCTTAGATGGCCACTAAGAATCATCTCTTATTGATCCAGTGTCACTACAGGAGGAAACTAACTAACTTTATTTATACCGGATAGCTCTATCAGTCCTCCTAAGATGTCCAGGAAGAATCATCTCTTATTGATCCAGTATTACTACAGGAGGAAACTAACTAACTTTATTTATACTGGATAGCTCTATCAGTCCTCCTTAGATGTCCAGTATAAGAATCATCTCTTATTGATCCATTGTTACTACAGGAGGGACACTAAACTAAACTTAAGCCTGGTTCACATATGCCTGCGGTATGCCTGCGCTATCATTGTTTACAGCTGTTGATGCATACGTTCTTTTGTGAATTATTTGGTTGAACTGCTAACGACAATATCCCGCGGACATAACGCAGGTACATGTGAACCAGGCTTAATCTATTCGTATTGGATAACTCTAACAGTTATAAACTGTTCTCCCTGGAGGTCCAGTAAGGATGATATATTTTCAGGTAGATGCATCCCTATCAACGAAAGCTTGTTCAGTAAGGATAATCCCTTATTAATTGATCAAGTATCACTACAGGAGGAAACCTAACTAAACTAACCTATTTATATCAGTTCTAAAGTGACCTTCGAAGAAATATTAATTCAAACTGGAAGCACTCTTTACACATGCAACTATACGAACTCACAATCAGACACCTCTGTATCATTACCTGAAATTGATTCGCCGGATCCCATTTTGTTGGTGATTCCAGGCGTACATTCTAAGAAAGAACAAGTAATTACATGTATTTCACTAGAAGTTACTATCGCAAGGAAAGTGTTTACCCCCAAGTTTGAGTTTATATGATCCCGCTTTCCCAGGACGAGATGTGAGGCGGGATGATTTCGATGTATTGAAATAAGGCACAGTGCACGATTCAGCAAGAAACTTCATTCTTTTCTAGAGATAGATTATTTTTAGTTAATTGTAAACGAATGGTTAACCAGCATGTGCACTTTCGTTTAGCCTAGTGACTTATTTCAATACATCAAAATCATCCCACCTTCCATCATGCATGTAAACAGCCCCTATAAGACAAGACGCCTGTATTTAATGATTGTAGCGTACTAATGTACTCGGTTGTAATTACTTGAGATGATGCGACACTGGTGAGCAGTTGTGGACAATGGTGTGGAGAAAAAATTACAACATGAGACTGCAGTAATATCATTGGGCTAGTATTCCAAAGGTCGCAGGTTCGAATCCCACCGTGGCCAGGCATATTTTTCAAGCCTGTCCGGTGTGGATATACACTCAGAGTAACATCACACAAGCATATTATAATCAGACTGTTCAGACAACTGCACATTGCAAGAATCAAACTCTCACCGAGATGACAGGCACATGCAACGATATAAACTAGTACCAAACAAAACACCAGAAAATTGAGATGGATTGGGACTACCCGAAAATACAAGTAAAATGTCGACGTTTCGAGCGAAGGTCCTTCGTCGAGAAGGCTACTAACGTCCCAACGAAGGGCTATCGCTCAAAATGTCGACGTTTTACTTGGCAAACTTAAGGATGTGAAATCAAATGATCCACGCACCGTTTGTACAATTACAAATAGGCCCAGTCCAATTTTCGTCACATATGCATTCAAACGGTTGACGACAGTAACCGTTAACACAGGATGAATTCTTGATACATTCTGTGCAATTTGGACCCTGCCAGCCAGGGTGACACCTGAAGAGAACACAGAGAGTCAACAATGTGCAAAGTATGAAATTGAGTTAGTGAAAGTTGAAATTGAGTCGAAATTGAGTTAGTGAAAGCTGAAATTGAGTTAGTGAAAGCTGAAATTGAGTTAGTGAAAGTTGAAATTGAGTTAGTGAAAGTTGAAATTGAGTTAGTGAAAGTTGAAATTGAGTTAGTGAAAGTTGAAATTGAGTTAGTGAAAATTGAAATTGAGTTAGTGAAAGTTGAAATTGAGTTAGTGAAAAGGAACACATACTTGCATTCGTTATCTTCACAGTAGCCATGACTTTCATTGCACCATTTCGAGCACGGATTTAAAACTATAATGGAGATAATAGGCGGCTTTTAATTTGACTACGAGTACAAGATCAGACATTTGCGTGCCAGACACGTCGTGTTTTGTTGTTGTCCAGTGGACGACACTTTAAGGAAGAGGGAGTCCTTGAAACTTGCAATAGTTCGAATAAGGTTTGGAATGCCTGTACAGGTGGAATTTGGAGCAACAAAAGCAGTGGCGTAACTTTGTGCTAACGGGCCTCTGATTTAAACGGACTTAAACAAAAATACAATGGATTTACAGTTAGTAAAATCTATAGCTAATTAAGTTATATGCACAAATAAAAATTTTAGGAATAACTATAAAAATATTGTCTATAATAGCAAGTTTGTTCTGAGAATAAATCCATTGTATTTTTACACTAAAGCTAGATAAATAAACTATTATTATTAAGAGGATTAGAGGACCCCTGGTCCTGCCCGTTCAGTGGTGGCCCTGCCTGTTCCGTGGTGACGGAAAGAGAGAGGACTACAAGAAGATGTAAAAATTGTTGAAATCATTCATCTTCGCCACTTTGTCATCCTTGTTTTAGGGGCTCCTGATGATTGACTTGGGAAGTTAATCTCAAAGAGGTTACGCCACTGAACAGAAGCATCCTCAACTCACGAAGTGTCGTCGACCGCTTCAATCATTATCAACAAGCTGACATCACACAAGGCGCGCAGATGGCAGTCAACTTCCGGAATGCTGACATTTATAACAGCAAGAGAATTACATCACAATTTTATTTACTTCCATATAATAGACATTATTTTCTCACTCGGATAACTGCAGGTTAGCCACCATCCGCTGCACGATAGTGCTTATAGTAGGCCTACACGGCTGAAAACGATCAGGTTGTTGCAATAGTTTGATGAAAACAGGATTGAATAATGTTTTGCTGCCCACATTGTTCACATGCAGTTGTCAACAATATTGAACAATATTGTTACACCCGATTCAGGCTCAACAATATTGTTCAATACTGTTGGGAAGTGTGAACAACGTGGGCAGCAAAACATTGTTCAATCTTGTTAAACAGTGGGCTCAACGTTTTTACGCGTGTATCACACGTAAAAGAAGTAATCTGCATCTTCAATGGCCTGCACCTACCTTTATCCTGACAATGGCGTCCAGTAAAGCCTGGCTTGCAATGACAGTGATAGTTGCTCATGGCAACGTCGATGCACGAGCCACCATTTTGACAGGGATTCTGCGAACTACAGCTTGATTTCCTTACGGGCTCAGTGCAATTCTCTCCACTCCAGCCCTCCTCGCACAGACACTCAAATGGTTTATTACAATAGCCATGTGTACAATTGGTAGTAGGTATGCATTGGGTACAGTTTGGACCAGTCCAGCCAGCTTTACAACTAGAAAATGTAAGATTTATCACTAGATAAATTTAAAATCTATTGAATCGCATATATAGGCCATATTACACGATGTAATTTTTGCTGCAACTGTGTAACACAATTTCTCACACAGAGCCACGTTAACTAAAATGTAGTCGCAGCCGTAAAGTTGTGACAATGGTTCACGGCTTACTCTGGATAGGTTTGCACCCCCCTCCCCCCCTCCCTCCCGGCAACATCCGCAGTCAATCCATCCTTGCGTGATCACATGCTTACAAAGTTTACAAATGTCGTTTCATCGCACTTTTTGGTATTTTGATCGGTATTTAGGAGGTATTTAATTGGTATACCACTACACCCCCCCCCCCGACCGACCTCAATAAGTGAAAAATCTTGTTAACAAGAACTAGTCTGATTTCCACTGTTGCGTTTTTCATACGTACGTATACGCACGTAAAACTATAAATCCGTTTAAGTGTTGCTTATGAAATAACCAAATAAATAAAGCAACAGAATTTAGTGTTCCGCAAGTTTTAGCATGCATTTGTTAACTTATTTGCAAAATATTTAAAAAATAGAAGGATTCAAAGTTTTATGTGTGTACGTGCGTACGAAAAACGCAACAGTGGAAATCAGCCTTTAGTTATACACTGAACCATTTCACCTCTAACCTGCATTCACCAAGACTCGCACAGACAGCGTTAGTACGATTACACGAAGGTGAGCACAGAGCTAACGAAAGAAAATAAAATAAGTACTTGGCAACAGAGCCTTTTTCAAGAATTCGTCCGTGGGGCATTTACAACAAAAGACCATACTATACTGAGTGTGGAGAGATGACAGATGGTTGTTGGTGACAAAACGTTTAGTGTGGTGTCGTATGTAATAGTAAGCCGGGTCTTTGTATTTTTCTACACCTAGGACTGCATTTCGTGCGTTTTCTGAAACAGATTTTTGGATATACAGCGTTACATTACACTGTAGATAGACCGAATCTTCAGCTACGACTTGCATGATATGTTTATGTAAATACCACAACTTGTTTAGCCTAGCCTTCCAACAACTCAAATCTATAGGGTCTGGGGTATGCTATCCATTGGGAAATTGTTGAATCATTTGAAGATAAAATACATGACATAAGATTCACAAAGCAAATTTCAGTTACTAGAATATCATATCTCCCTTCTAAATTCCATTTTTCTTCCAATGTTTTGCTTATATTTTAGAGTGAAGGGACTTTGTCTCCAATTTGACTGGGGGGGGGGGATTGTTGGGTGGGGGGGGACCTTGGGGCTGGAGGAAGCTGGAGGGGCTTAGCCCACCTAGTTATATACAGTAGTTAAAAAAGG